CTTTTTTTCTTTTTGCTTATGTGGTGCTGAGGAATCAAACCCAGGGCCTCATGCATGCAAGGCAAGCGCTCTACCACTGAGCCACCTTCCCAGCCCCTATAGCTGCTTTCGATTAAACCTTCTTTCTCAGTTTATCAATGCCCCTCTCTCTAATTAGCCTACAGATAGCTGAGCCCAGTTAAACTGAGACATCCTCCAGAAGTGGAACTTTAGCTAGAAATTATGGTTGCAAAATCACTTTCTTTTGGATGTCAAGTTACAAGAATAGAGAGATACAAAGGGGCTTTTGACATCTGCCATAAGATGGTAAGAAGCTGCAAAGCTCCTTGAAAAAAAAGGTAGAGAAAGAAAACTCAAAAGCATGTCTGGCAAAGGTTAGTCCTAAATGTATGTTTTGAGTAGGCTTAGGATACATCTCCAATATTAATAATAAAAAATATCCATCTTGACCACCCAAAGCCATTGTCTCTAACTTGACATCCCATTTCTCTAGGTCAGAGCACATGGAATTAGCAAAACACAAACTCAGTCATTTTTAAGCTCCTCTCCCACCCCTTCACTCTAACAGGAAGTGCTTTTTCTCTCCCTACTTTTTTCTATTTGTCCCTACTTTATCCCATTACATTAAAATAAATCCTTGCTAAAACATTCACTTTGTGAGGCTCTCCTTTTTTGTGAGACACCTTGATTCCTATGCTTTCATGTGGAACCTGGGAGGCAAAAAGAACCCTAACCCCTTATCCGGTGACAGTTATTCTTTCAGACTGTTCATATGAGAGGCTCAGATATCTGCATTCTTTCTCAAAGACATATCTTCAAAGTTCCTCCTTGTGCTCTGGAGAGGCAGGAGAGAGACTGGGCAGGTCAGAAAGAACTTAGATTTGATGCAGTCTTTACTAGTCAGCATATTAAGGAGCTGCATTTTGACATATTTTCTGAGTCCCAACATTAACTGTATGAATAACATACCTGATCTCAACTATCTCATCTGTAAAACAGGAACACCACAACCTATTCCATGTTGTCAGAAGGAGACTAACACAAATAATGGCCATCCTAGGCACTAAATGGATGACAGTTTCCTCTCCAGAAGGCCACGCCCACAGGTACAAAAACGTCATTTGTAGAAGAACGGGAGATTTTCTTTTCATTTGATTTTTCAGGGAGCAAAATACTTTTCAGTGGAAAACTGCATTGTCTAGATACTAGAGAAGAACCTATTAATAATCTCATTCTAATTCAAATTTATTTCAAGTTTATTCCTCCTTCAACAAATGAAAAGTAAAGTTCTAATGTGTCTGGTGTATCTATAAGCTTAGTTCTCCCCCTTTTACCTATTCCTAATGCCCCATCAAATCATTACCTAGAATTTATTCAACGAATACTTACTTGTGAGACATACACATACACATATACATACACAAACACATACCAGGCACCTTTCTAGGTATATACATCATTGAGCAAGGTACAGTGGATCCTGGCTATCAAGGAGAAGGGAGGACAGACTTACACAAGTAGATCAGTAGACTAAAATCATCTTAGATTAAGATAAGCAATCTGAGGTAGCACCTGGTTTAGGCAGAAGGGAGGGGAAGTACATGAAGGGTTAACATTAATAAGGATGGTAGTAGGAAGGTGCTAAACAAGGCAGTTGGTCATGAGAATATTTGGGGAAGAGTGAGAATTACAAATTGCAAATACAATGAGAAAGGCAGAAACTATATTAGCAGAGAGAATGAATTTTCTTCTAAAGACAAAAGAAAGTACACTGCCTCAGAAATCCCCACTCTCTTTCTAATCACTCCTTCCCTTTCATTACTAGATTTTTTTTTCAGTCTTATCTCTTACCTGATATCTCAGTCTTCACTCCCACCAGTCCTAAGACTACAGCTCATCTTTTGTTTTCAGTATATAGATACCAATCCCCTTTGCCAAACAAACAACTGCTTCTCTACCTGAACTGGCCACATGTGGGAAGATATAATACACCTGACCTAGTGCTCATTATTTCAAACACAATAGACTCAGGGTGTGTGTGTGTGTCTGTCTGTGTCTGTGTCTGTGTGTCTGTGTCCTGCAGCTTGCACTCAGGGCCTGGGCACTGTTCCTGAGCTTTTTATGCTCAAGGCTAGCATTCTACCACTTGAGCTCAGCTCCACTTCCAATGTTTTGTTAATGGAGATGAATCTTTACAGACTTTCCTAAAACCAGCCACAAGCTGGTTTTGAATCACAATCCTCAGATCTCAGCCTCCTCAGTAGCTACAATTATATCACAGTCGTAAGCCACTAGTGCCCAGCGAAGTCGACCTTTTTTTTAAACATTTTACTATGAGGTTCACTTCACATTCCTCCCCTTCTCCCAGAATACAAGTATCTTGAACCTTTAATCTTGGCCAGGACTTCACTTAGAAATACTTGTTGCTCTCCATTTCCAAAACCATCAAATTGAAAAAGGCTTATAACTTCAGTCCTGAATTTTGAAACATTCCTCACATAAATGCCTTCCTGCCTATTACTGTTTAGATTTCATGATTCTCAAGCCTTCCAGTTAGACCCAACTGGAAATCTTGCTAAAATAGTATGCTGGGTCCCAAAACTCCTAGCCAATCCCAAAACTAACCAGAGCAGGAGCTGGGCACTGGCAGCTCATGCCTGTAATCCTAGCTACACCATAGGCTGAGACCTGAGGATAACCAGCCTGGGTAGGAAAATTGGAGACTCATCTCCAATTCACCTCCAGAAAATCAGAAGTGGTGCTGTGGCTTAAAATGATAGAACACTACCCTTGAGCAAAAAAGAAACTGTGCCAGGCCCTTAGTTCAAGCCCCAAACCCCTCACCAAAAAAACAAACAACAACAACAAAAAAAAAACCACAGATCAGAAACTAGAGG